GCAGCACCGGCGGCTCGCCTGCGGCCGACGCCTCCGCCCCCGCCACGCCGCCATCGACGTCGTCGTCGGTGACGATGTCCTCCACATCACCCTCGCTATCGTCGTTATCGCCGTTGGCGGCTCTCCTGTTGATCCTGCTGCTGGCCCCGTCGTCGTCGTCGCCGTCGTCGTCACCCCCATCAGCGTCTTCCTCCTCGCTGTCGCGCGCCGTCTGCAGGCGGCGGGTGGCCGACGCCTGCGCCTCCCGCTCCCGCTGTTCCTGCAGGCGCTTCTTGTGCTCCTGCTGCCTCTGCGTCTTCTTGGCAACCACCACCACACCGTCCGGCGTGAAGGCGACGCGGCCGATCCACTTCACCACAGCGGCGGAGAACAGGTTGAAAAGGGTGACCGTGTTCGCCTCGCTCGCGTACACCGGCGCCACAACAAAAAACGCACCGAGGCCTTTGCACCATGTGTGCAGGTTCTTCGCAAAGCGATTGAAGTGCTCGGCACCATACGCGACGTCGCCAAGCCCAAATACGGCGAACTTCGTCTTGGAAAGCGTGTCACGCGGCACCCGGAAGTCGGTGTACGCGTCCTGCAACAACGCCGCGAACGCCTGCGACGACTCCGGCGCGGTGCCGTTGGTGTAGGTGCTCGCAATGAGAACAACAAGGCCGTACTCATTGCTCTCCAGCAGGTGCTCGACACTGCACTGGTGACCATTCTCTGTGAGTTGCAGGACCCTCACCTCCGGTACGGCACGCGCTGGGGTATTGTTGTTGCAGCAACCACAGCCCTCTTCCGTAGAAGCAGAAGCAGCCACAGGGGCAGCGCTGCATGCCTCTTGTAGAGCCGTGTTCAGTGTGGAAAAGAGCTTGTGCGCCAATTTGCACGCCGTGTTGGACTCTGTGGCGTAGGCGATCAGTATCTTCTTGACACCTCGCCTCTCACCGCAGCTGTTACTCTTATCACCGTTATTGCTGCAACAACGGCATCCGTGTTCAGCCAATGTGGCGTCCGAAGCCTCCGTTCCCTCTGCCGCCTTTGACTGCTGCAGGGACTTCTGCGCAGCGCGGCGTCCATCCTGCCGCTCCCTCGTTTCAGCGGACCAGCGGCTCCCCAACAGGCCGAGGAACACCATTGCCACGGTCCCAAGCGCGATGAGCAGCCCCTGCCAGAGCATCTCAAGGAGGAAAGCAGGCATTCGCGCCGCCTCCCACTCACACCCACTCTTTTCCTACAGCACTGACGGCACAAGCGGCGTATGCGCGTGCGTGTTGTGTGACGTGAAGCGCAACACAACAGAGCAGATTCGAATTGAGCAAACGGAAGGAGAAAAAGAGACCAGGGTTATAAGCCACGACAGGTATGGGGCGTCTTGGATTGGCACACAGGCGGCGCCCCCCCCTCCGCCTAAAGGAAAAAGGGCACACAACAACCAAACAGAAACAAAGACGAAAAAAGAAAATAAATACAAAAAGCCTATATATATATATATATA